CTATTTAATCAATATCTATATAGCCAAACTAAGCTTGAGAACTAACTTGCTTGTTTAAAACATGATCTAGATATTGCTTTAAGCTTAGATATTCAGCTTGACACTAGAAATAGTTTCTTGATAAAAAATAATGAGAGTTTTTCAGAGTGTATATGCCAATTTGAAGATGAGGCAAGAGAACTCAAAAATGAGATTAATCAAAAAGAGATTTCTCTTACAAGTGCTAAGAACGAGATTACTATAAAATTGGAAGAGATACAAGCTTTTCATTCAAGAATAAAGAAATTAGAGTAGGATATTTTTTTAGCAAAGAAGAGGTTATTAGAGATAGATTTTCTTAAGTGTAAATCTGAACTGAAATATATAAAACTGTCTGATGAAAATATTAGTTTAGATTTGGCAAAAATGAAGTTAGAAGATACATTGATCAAAAAAAAGGATGAATTAATGCAGGTGAGAGATGATTTACTTTCAACGCAAAGGCAGTAATAGAGAAAGATTCCCTTCTTCAAGAAACTAATATTCTTTTATTAAAACAGATTTTAAAAATATTTAGCAAATCTAAGTAAAATAAAGTGATTAGAGGTGATAAAGGACTGGAAAAAGATAATGAAATTACTAGCCCCGAAACAATCTTAGAATCTTTTTATTTCTTATTTTTTCAGTATGCATTCATCTTCGTAATAGTATTACTAATACTATACATCTTATGATACGTATTCTCTTATCTATATTCAAATGAAGAAAAAAATATTCTGAACTATAAAATACCTTTAAATAAAAATCAAGGTTATAAACCCCTGATCTGATATAGAGAAAAACCAAAAGACAGGACTACCTTTTATAAAACTTTACCTTATAGATATGGATGAGGCTACAAAATATGAATTACCTGAGAAATCTACTAGAAATATTTATGCAAATTGCATTACATCTAGCAGATTGGCTAGAAAATATTAACTAATCATACAAATCACTTTTATCAGCCTAGCACAGGATCATATTTTTTGCAGTATAGATAATAATTTTTTTACTATATTATTTTATTCAAGAATAAAAATTTACATATTTTCTGAGACTGCATAGTCTTGCAAATTTGTCAAAAAAATTTTATTAAAATAGTCTGAAAATACAAAAAAAAATCTAGTTATCTTGCTTAGATGAAGAAACTGTAGAGATTTTTCTACATTTCGATTTGATCTTTTTAAAGGTACATTGTAGAGAATACTCATATTAATAATTAGAATATTTCATCATATTAGTAATAATTCTATGAATTTTTTTACAATAGACGAATCTGATAGTTAAACCAGAATTTCTGATTTATAAAAATGATAATATTGTTACAGTCAGTTCTTTAAGATGCTCATGAGTGATAAGTAAAGCAATATTTATGAATGGTAAGCAGAAGGTTAAATTTGATATTTAGATTTAGAAGAGTGTCGATAAATTAACAGTTTATTTAATAACTATAATAATGGAGTACTGCCTTAGTCAGCGCTCTATATTATACAATTATGTTAAAAGGATTAAACTAAACTATTATATTAAACTATGAGTCAGACACACTGCTAAGCTAAAAGAATTTGTCCTCTATTTATATAAAATGGAAAATATAAAGTTACTGAAGATATAAAAGAAATAAATATAATAAAATATATGAAATAAATAAAATATAATAAATATATGAGATAAATAAAGTAAAATAAATAAAAAAAATATATTGTATAAAAGAAATATATACTATAGATGACATAGATGACATAGAAGACATATATGATTTCTTAGGGATCGATATCATCCTTTAGATCATCATCATCCATGTCTTCTTTCATATAATAATATCGATAGACTTCGCTCATATTCCTTATAAGAATACTTAAATATAATTTCTTTTCAGTTATCTGCATCTCAATAATTCTAAATTTATCCTTATCAGGTTTACAACTTTTATGAGTCTAGTACATTCTATCATTAACCTTACATCATAGCTTTACTTAATCATCTCTTTCCTTTTGCATTGTATATGATAAATGTGAGCATTTGGTAAATAAAAGTTCATAATTTTTTCTATTATATTTCATTACAAATATAACATCTGGCTATCTCCCAGATTGTCCATTATCTTTCCTATCTGCAGTAGCACTACTTTGATATTCAAAACTACTAATGAATGTGATTTTTCCTAGAGGAAGATTCTTCAATGTTATCTGAATAGCCAATACTATCACATTGGTCACGTAAGTACCTTTATTCAGAGATTTCATAAAATTCGTTTCAAATGTAGGATTATTTTAAGAATTATGTCTAATATAAATAAAAATATAAGCAGAAAGTAGAAAGTAAAAAATTACTAAATATTCTGAAATATTATAAAAAATACTTACAATGTATCTAAAATTCTCTCTGCAATTATTGCAAGCTTGTTTTCTATTTTTTTTTATGTTTCATCATGTATAAGTTTCCTTAAAAGATCAATTTCACGATTTTCAATAAAATTAGTAACGAATTTATTACATTTTTTTTTCACTATAAACAGAAGAGATAAAGGTACTATTTGTCGTACTGGCTTTATAAAACTGTACTTAAATTGGCCTGACAATTTCTTTATAACTTCTGATCAGTCAGAAATTACTTGACTAGCTAAAGGGTCTATTTATTATAATTCAGAAATATTCACACTATTTATACTATAATATAGATGCTAGTTAATTAGCATCATTATATTTTTCTTGAGTTTGCCTTTCAATTTATTTATATTTTTTTTAATCTCATCAGAGTTAAGAGATCTTTCTTTGTTTATTCTAACTACTCCTATATTACGCATATAATTAGATAATATGTTAGTTTTAGTAATATAATAATCTCATCATTAAAAAACGCATGTGCTATTAATACATATGTAAAGTTATTATCTTAGTGTAACTATCATGCTAATAAAATCTTGTATGATACTAAATAACTACATAATATCTTATAGATTAATCACTTTCCTTCTCATGCATCAAGAAATATTCTTAGGGTAGAACTAATAAAATGATTAAAACACAAGCAATAATTTATACATCTTTCATACAATTCAAAAAATTGTTTCTTTAGATGAAGATTAATAAGATAAATCTAATATCATTTTAGATCTCGTTCTTACAAGTGGATTATATAATATCATTATTTAGTGAAAAAGAAATATTAGTAAAGCTTTACAACTAACCTGAGGAAGTATTCAGAAAAGTTTTAATTAGTGCAAAGATTCTTTGACATAAAGATTACTAGCAAACCCTATAGCTTAGTCTACAACACTTTTTAAATCATTTTGTAAAATCTAGGGATTTTCTTCTATTTTCTGATAAATGACCGAGGTGGTAGTAATGTGTTTTTGCTTAGCAGTTACTAAAAAATTGTAAATTTTTGAGTATAATTCAGAAGATATAGTTTTGTATTGTTAATATAAAATAAGCAACTTAAATATAAATTTTCTATATTACCCTTTTAAATGTCACCATTTCTCATATTCTCATTCTTTTCATATTGGGAAAAAGAGATAGAAGAACTATGCGAGGTACTTTATACTTGTATTAGAGAATAAGGGCATATGAAATATGCATTAAAAATCTCAACATTACATCATATATACTTTAATGAGAATCAAAAACATGTTAATTTTATGTCATACATACTTATATGCATTAGCTTTAAGGCACTTCACATGGCTGAATAATATATTATTTTATTAATATAATATTTAGGATCTTCTTCAAAAAATACTTTATTAAAATTGTTATACAGTATACTAGAAGATCTAATCTAGAATAGGCAAATCAGGTTTTTTATACTGCAGGTGGTATATTCTACAATTATACTAGGTGATCATGTATGCAAATTATATAGCACAAAAAAAACATATTATGAATATAGTTAAGATATTATTTAGTCAAAAGTAATAATCTACATTGCTCAGAATCAGTCAATCACAACAGTTAAACAATCATGATTTATACTCTATCTCTCAATCTTATTGTAGTACCTTTTAGCTGATTAAGATATTTTGTGAATGATAATAAGTTATTTTATTTTGTATACAGAGATAAGATAAATAGTATATTTGGAGTTAATGAGTGTAACTCAAAAGCTTGTTATTTAACCTTAACTCTTACACGTTCAAGATCACTTAAAGGATCAGAACATTCTTGATTCCAATATTTCTGTATCATATCCTTAGCTTTAATCAATTTAATGAATCTATGTCATCCATGGTGATATGATTTGGTTAGCTTTATTTCATTAACTTGAAATAGTTTTTAGCAATAAAAGCAAATTGTCATATTGTTTTTATGAATTTTAAGATGATGATAAGAATGATATGATTCATCAAATTTACCTTCACCAAATTTTGCAAACAAACAGAAATTATAGTATATGCTATTTTCATTTTGTGATAATAAATATTAGAGAGTATTTTTAACTTATAATCTTTACTGCACTAGAGACTTCCCCTTTCTCATTATTAATAATTGTTATAAATTTTTCATTAGCAAGAAATTTTTGAAATTCATGCTACCATAGTAATTTTTGAAATATGTTTTATAATATTTTATATTATATCCAGAACGGTTACTGATGGACTTAGGAAATCATCATTCTTTTTTATCAATAATCATATTAATATTAGTAGCACTTGCTAAGATAACAACTATCATATTTAGCAAAATATATTGATTTATAGTATTTAGTAAATTCTAGCTATTCTTGAATAATATATACTATAGAATATCATTGTTCAAATTTATACAGATTTACTGATTAGCAATTAGATGATTTGTAACTGATTTGTAAGACTACATATTATTAAATAAAAATTATTTTTTATTCTTGATCATCATTGTATTATGATATACTCTAATATTTTATTAGTCTTAGCGCTCTCCCGTCACTTTCAGTTTGTGAATATTTCATGATTAATAGGGATTAGCCAAAGGCACTTTATAACATAAAAATTTGTATCACTTTAGTTCCCAGTCAGTTCCTGATACTTCTTCACAACCTTCTCGCAACTCAAATCATGAGATGATTAGTGAGAGAGCAATTACATTTATAAAAAAATTTTAGACAAGCTATTCACTAATTATGCAGTATCAGTATCAATCAAAAAATTTTAACAGGCTGTTCATTAATTATGCAATATCATTATCGATCAAAAATAATATTATAACACGTGAAAAATAAATGATTAAATTTTATTATATATGTATCAAAATACTATTTTTTATATTATAACAGACATGTCACGCAATATACTAAATTATCCCTGAAGTACTTTAGCAATTACGTATTTAATGTCATCTTCCGTAATAGATGATAATGAAAAAGTTTGAACTTTAAATCTCAAGCCACAGAAAAAATTTTTCAAGACTTTGATCATTATTAATGGTAACAATTTTTGCTAAGAAAAAATTTTGATCTATTAGTACTAATGTTGCAAGTTCATAATATACCTTGGCTTTCAAGTAAAAATAATTATAAAGTTTCTATGATAAATATGATGTTTCTATACTAATGATTATTCTATTTTAATTTTCTATTCTATTTTAATTCTTTATTTGTAACTTGAAACAGAAAAATCAGCTTGATTTTGCATATTCATTCTTGACTTTTTGGTATTGAAATCATATGAATCGAGACAAAATGTGAGAAATTGTATGAAATGCACAGCCATTTTGGAAAAAAAAATTTTTAATATTTTCTTTGGTATATTTATCTTTAGATTCACTTCTATAATACTTTTAAATAGTCTTTTTAAAATGATTGATTTTGCTCATATTTCACCAATTTAGTACACATTATAAAGTTACTTGAGAGAAACGGTATTGATATTTATCTTACTAGAAATAGACTTAGCAATAGAAAACCTACAATCTTGTATACTCTATTGGCAAATAGCCTAAAATAGTCACTAAAAACTTTATTATCTACAATTTCAGATTGTTCTAGAAATTCTATATTGATATTATCTGAAAACGTAAATAAAATGAAAAAATCATCTTCTGATAAAGATTTTTTACGCTCTTTTTCATATAATTTTTGGCTGATCATTTTTTCTGTGTATTTGTATTAGTGAATTTTATTCACAGTTTTGGCATCTGGTTAATCTAATGATAGGAAAGCATCTCCATATGGTGAATTTGTAATGTTAATAATACAATATTTGAATTGCTAGACATCAATGATAGTATTAGTATTTTTACAATCAACATTCCATTCACTTAGGGTTGTTTTCAGAGTTTGTGTCTGTTTGATATTTGGCAAATTGAAGATGTAGACTATAATTTATAAATTGGATATCACCATTTAAATATACTCTTGCATAAATCTCTAAAATTGTTATTAACTTATTTTCAATCACAGCTAACTTTAAATAATAGAAAAATGTGATAAGATTTTTAAAACTCTGCTATGGTTTAGATTTTAACAATGACAGAAGCTCCTTTTGTTCTTTATAATTAGCGAATGTTCAGTCTCAAAGTATTAGATCTCCTTATTCATGAGAAATTTCAATAAATATTCAGAGCCAGATATATGGTACAGTGAAGTATCCTCTTAGTAGTGATATCCATTTTTGATATCTCAGAGATTTGTTGTCTCAGTTATATATCATAACCTGTTTCACACTATGTTTCTAATGTCCTATTTATCCTATCTATGTTCTATCAGTATCCTATTAATGTCTCATTAATGTTCTATGACAATACTGCCTCTTTGGTATCTCATTTTTTTTGTTCAAATCAGATAAAATCATTCTGAGTAAATTGGTCTAGCTTTTTTTTGTTCTAGAAACAAACTTGTCTATATTTAAGAAACTTCTATTTAATATTACTCACGTAATAGCCCTGATGTTATTGCAAAAATTCCAGATAGTTTCTTTATACCAGTCAGTGAATCTAAAGTAAAGATTATTCATCAAATTATTAATATTACAGTTGTCAATAAAATGATTAGCCATACACTCACTCAGTACTTCTAGAGTCTTTCTATGCCTCTATAGTCTTTTTTAAGAATATTCATAATGTCTTTTTTTTAAATGCTGAGACCATTTTACTTTCTTGGTAGTATTCTGGAGGTTTTAGAAAAGCGACTGGTAAGTATACACATTTTCAATATGATAATACTATTGCATTCTCAATTGAGAAAGTAATTGTGCAAAGTATAACATGGTATTAAAAAATTTTATTTAATTTAAGATTTCCGATGGATGACAGGATACAGTAAAAGTCTGAATTTTTGTTTAAATCATCATCCTTATATACCATAAGCTATTGCATGCTATCTATAATTAAAATAACTGTAATATTCTTTAGATCACAGTTCTGATGTTCAGCGATCAATAATATAACAGATAATGAATATGATGACTCGTATTTAAACAAAACATCATCAAGCTTCATTTTTTCTTCAAGAAGTTGCAATAGCATTCGAGTACTGATGGTCAGAAAAGGATTCTCACCCAGTTGTAAGGAGGTTCTATTCTCATAACTAACATGAAATATATAAGTGTCCTTAATCTTAGCTAATAATTCTTCATCTTCATTAGCTGATAAACAATTGATTGCCATTTTGTGAAATTCACTAGCATTTCTAAATTTTCCAGTGCCAGCTCTAGAAAGAAAGAGATACATCAAGATATGTATTTTATCAATATTTTCTAAAATAAATTATTTATAATGTTTTTTAATCTCTATTTGCAACTTTTGCTTTAAAGATGGGTCAGATTAATATTTCTAATCTGCATCAGGAATGCGAAGTAAAGGTAATGGTTTCATATATAGCAAATCTAATATGTAAATATTATATTCAGTCAGATTCAATGTAAAAACAGTGGTAAGTGTTGTTTAATATACTTTCAGAAAAGGCATCAGTGATTTCTATTTTCATTTGTGCTAATGCAAAAAAAGATAAATACATTATAGCACAGGTGAGATAAAGCAGTAAAGCAGTTGTCATTCAAGCTAAGATGCATTTACTGCATTGATTAATTTTATTATGAATCACTTACCAGTATCTATGATAACATAAACATATTTTTTGAGGGTTTGACGATAAGAAGTAGGAAAAAAAAGCACAAGAATAATAAATAAGTATTTAGTATTATTAGTGAATATAATATGATTAAGAGAGAATATACTAGGTTTTATGAGATCTTTGAAATATGCAACTATCTCTTCATTATTATCACATATAAGAAGAATGCGTTCCACTTCAGTTCTTCTTTCTAAATTTTTAGTGGAGAGGGTTCATAGTACAATTCTTTCTTCTTTTGAATAAAGTATTTTGATTGTTTCATAAATATTAGTTATGATTAAAAAGAGTAACACAGACTGAAAAAATTTTTAGGATTATAGGAGGTATATATGAGAAATCAAATATCATACAGATTTCAAAGTCACATGATTCTAATCATTACCTATGGTAATGATTTTTGCAAAGAAGAAAAATTTAATGCAAATGTCTTGAAATAGAAGAGACTTTATTGATGATATAACTAATCAAAAAATGCTAGAGAAACAAGTAAAATGTATGATGCTATCAAAGAAGGAGAAATACGTAGATCCTAGACTATTTAATGTGAGTCTCAGCACTAAGTTATTTATTTGCTTTCACATTTTTAGAGAATATTGTATCTAACTACATCCCATAATTTTTCTTTACATTAGAATTCCAAAATAAATTATACCACTTATATCTACAGAATTTTCATCTATCCCACTCACAGATTATATAATAGATCATTTCCAGTAAGAGAACTTCTCAAGATGAAATAATTTCAAATCTGTATAAAGAATTCTGAGATTAGCAATGCGGTAAAAGAAATAAAACAAGTTGAGGTTTCCAATTTACACTTACTGTTATACTTTATTTTCACAACATTCTATTCCTTCTTACATTCAAAAAATTTGTTAGTTAATGTATTATAATAAAAGTGTTTCAATTTTTTTTATCGTTAGAACAATATTACACTAAGCATCAAGAATTTGAATGTCATTATCAAAAAATTTTATTTAATATATTGTGTACTGTATCTCAGCATGTAACAAAAATCTGGTGACAGAAATTAATATTGTGCTGATTAGACATATGATAATGATCACATTCTTCTCAGCAAATATTAAATGAGCGGAAAGAATCAAGAAAGATAATATGTTCGCTTTATTTTTGAGCATCTATAGAGTCAGAAAAAATGATTAACATTGTGATGACAATTTTCTAAAATCAAGCCAAGAAATCAAACAAACTAATTTTACTATTACTTTGTGATTTGATTGATTGTTAATATTGTTGAGATTAATAGTAATAAGTTTGAATATTTATTTTGATCATTTTTTGCTTTACTTATACAAGGCAGATAAAAGGATTCACTAAATAAAACTTCACTTTTTTATAAGATTTGTAGTGCATTTAAGGATTATTTTTAAAATAAATCTTTAGAAAAATTATGTTATTATGATTCATCACGAAATTAGATCAACAGATATTCCTTAAAATTATAATAGACACTGGAATCGTATTTCTGGATCAACAAGGAGATCTTTTTTATTATTAATACATATAAAAGCTTGAGTATATGCAAAAAGTTTTGAGAATAAATGATATAGTGGTAATGACTTGTTCTCGTAATATATGGTGACTTTTTTAAATGATGCTGCACTTTTATCAAGTATCGATTCACGGATGAAAAACTGATTAAGAAATATTAGCATACAAACGCATCCTACACTTTTCTCAACACATACTAGATATGATATATAAATATATTGTATTTAATATACCTTAACTTTATTGATTGTAAATAAAAAAAATACATATTTTTGTTTACATTACAGAATAATATCTAATGCAACAATGCTATTATGTAGCTACAATTGCAAATTTGAATTTATTACTTAAAGAGTTATAGCTAAGACAGTATTCTGTTTCATACCATTCGCCATATAATCCATAATTCCCATGTTTTCCATCACAAATAGGACATGATGAGCTTCATAATTGAAAATTATAATTATCAATCTCTCTGAAACTATTTCAGAATTTCAGATATATGAAATTTTCTAAAATAAACTTAATAATTAATTTTAGATCAGGTTTGGCTTTGAAAGTGATAAACCTATTTTTTTCACATTACTCAGGAAAATATAAATAGGATACTTTATTTTCTGGCTTCAAATTTACAAGAAAGCTGACTTCTGATGCATACACTTCTGATAATTATTATGGATCATACCTAGTTATTTTTTTATATTTTTTGTATAAGTTAGACTGTATCTTATTCGTCAAAACATATAGTAAACCAGTTAATTTGGAAAGCTAATTCAGATACTCAGAGATTAATACTTTATCAGACTTACTCATATTGCCTTTTTATATAATTATAAATCAATTTAAATTACAGTAGGTAATAGCTGACATAAATTAGCCTATAAAAAAATAGAAAATATCACAATGAAGTATGAGCAAAATGTAGTATTATAAAATAATAAAACTATGTAATTATCTTAATTTAATGCTATTCACATTTAATAAAGTAAGATTCAGATTTATATTTACCTTCTATGCTTTCCTCATCATCATAATCTAAACTGCATAACAAACATGATGTCTCATCAGTAATGCTATAATAATTGAAATTTTTACTATTAAATTTTCTACATAAATTAGGATATTGATTTAATATCTTGTTTCTAAAATAGGATTAGTCATAAGTTGGATTAGTCTTATTTGCTTGAGATGAAATTGTTTCTGCTAAAGTTATATAACTCCAATCATTATCATTGATAATGGTTTTCAAAATTATATGAACCTAATCATTCACATAATCTATAATATTTTAAATTTAAGTAATATTTAATCTAGAAATATCACTCATATTACAAGTAACTAACTTAATTCTATCAATCCTGACCCCTTTTTCTCCAAATAGCATAAGAATATTTTTAGCTTTATATATTCAGATTCATAAATTACCTAGAGTGATATTAGGTAAATACTGCAACACTTTTTTGTATATCATTGATTTTGCTGTTTTATCTTTAGTCTTGTCATCAATTGTAATATTTTATACTTTTTTTTTGAACTCAAAGGAATAATAATATAAGCATAAGATTTCTTTTAGACTCATTTTTATAATCTCATCAATCTAATAAGCTAATCTCTATGTAGAACTCTCAATTGCATTGTTTAAAATGGACTTATTATATAGTTTAACTGATTCCACTGAAGAAATAGGCCTAGAAAGTTTATGCTTCAAAGTTTATTTAGTGGTTTGATTTCTATCAAGTGGTTGTGTAGTAATCAGCCCAGATATTTTATCAGATGAGACATTTTCGCTATCAGTACAAGTGATCATTTTTATGTTATATGATAAATTATTCTCAATGGATGATAAAGCAGAGATATTATCGCTTATACTAAGTAATAATTTCAAATCTTGATCGTTATCATTGGTAATGATTTTTTTGTTATGTGATAATTTTGAATCTTGATTTTCAATGAAAGTTTTTTTGTCACATGTTAATTTTGAATGGATTTAATTTTTAGTTAACTCATATAGAAATTTCTTCTTCTTATTGCATTGCTTTATTTTACTACTAACAATTTTCTTATAAGCCTCAATCAAGAAACTATCCATATCTTTCTCTTTCAACGATTTACCATTAAGATATTTTGCAAAGTTGGTAGATACTATTATCACTTCTGGTACTGCAATTAAATTGAAGCTAGGTGAATTTATTAGTAGAATTATGTGAAGCACCTCTTAGTTTATTTAGAGTCTAGTTCTGTTCCACTTTCGTGATTCTATCTTCTAACTCAGATTTTATCTTTTCAATTTTAGCTCTGAGTTTAGCATTTTTAGCATCACGCTTCTCATTATATTCTTATTCACTTTTAGAAACTTAGCATTCCTACGCTTAAGTTTAACTATTTTAGCATCAGATACTGAGAGCTTGATTCTAAGATCACAGATTTTAGTATTCTTCTTTCTAAGCTCTATATTCTCAGCCTTAAGCTCAATAATACGCTATCTTAACAATTCAAGCTCAGATAACATAATTGTAGTATGTTTTATACAGAAAGGGAATTGTTTAATATATATAATTAATACTTGCATGAATATAAGAAAAAAATTTACATAATTTCAGCAACCTCAGATCATCCAAATTTTGCCAAAAAAATTTCTCTACAGTTAATCATAATAATCATCACAAAACATGGAAGTCCTAAATCTTTGTAAATTAGTATATAGATTTCAGAAAAATTACACCAATCACTTCAAATGAGAAAAATAATTGACTTCATTTTATAGGTCACTTAGTACTCTAAATGTTTTTTATTTACAATACGTTGAGCCTGATCCTAAAGGGATTGCTAAAAATAAATTACATGATGTGAGACTAGCCAGGATACATGATGATTTTTTTTAAACCTTGATCTTAAAGGGATCAGCTTTATCATGTTAGTCTATCTGTCTGTTTTATCTACTACTCAATAGTTCACTATATTCATGATTTTTATCTGACCTTGATTGTAACACTAATAAGAATCTTGAAAAGAAACTATGTAT